AAAATGCAGACTTGTGCAATTTATTAAGAATTGAAGAGAAGTAGCGCATTCAGCTGATGTTAATTTTCGCATTGACGAGTCACTTCTTGTCGTGTGAGAGAGAAATAATTGAAATTGAAACAAAATATTCGAAAGTTATTTACGTTGCATGTACTTTATAGAAGAAAGGTTATAATTGTCACAAAGCCCAACGATTTTCACGCTTTCACTAGAGAATTGAATAATAAAGGCGATTTTGCGGCCTCAATTGTTGCAGAAACCAGGCGGCCAAAATAGCATGCAACTGTAAATCCATTTTGCTTTTTCCACAGTTTAGGCGTTGTCTAAACACACTCGGGTTTTGCATCAATACACCAACCGCTAAACGACAAACCATATTCATATACCAAACTGACCAACAAATGTTATTTGCCGAACGTTAAAACTCGTAAAACCCATTCGTTGGAAGAGAGAAGCGCGACCTTGACGGCTTCTTACGCGAAAACCTTCACTTCACCCGCCTCGACAGTATGATTTATTGTGCTTACTCCGCACCGCATTCCTAGATAAGATTCTTGTCGCGAAACGATTATAAACGGGAAGATAATAGGGCGGCGAAGGGCGATGTTATCTCGAGCGCGAATATTGCTTCTTCTCACTATTGAACTCTTCGAGAATTACTGTTCAATGAAGCCGGACTTATTAGACTTTTTTAATTAAACAGTTATTTTAACTGAGTGGCAAAAAAGAACGCATCGCCAACTCTCGGCGAGAAAGAAGACGAACGAAAGTGCGTCGGCGTCGCCTTTATCTCTCGTAGCCCCTTATTTTCCTTCGATTCGTCCAAGCGATCGGCCGTTGAGTGTCGTCGGGTCGTTAAAAGCGTTTATTTACATTCGTCGGTATCGACATTAACCTTTTAAACGACGCGGTCGGGTGCACGCGACGGTATCGCCGCCATTCATATTTGTTTTTATCCGCGGCCGCGTGCGCGCGGAAATATCTTCGAATGGAAACGGCTGGACGCACGATACGGTTTTATGAGCCACATGCTCCCGCAATATACGCGAGACAATACAAATGGTGACTTAGATCAGCAGGTGAATTCTCCGCGCGCGCGGGAATCTCTCTCCCGCCGGCGAGAAAGAAGAGAGAGAGAGAGAGAAATTATTCTTGCCGTTTCTTTTTCAATATCTCTTGGTCCCGTGAATGGGATAAGAGGAAAAAGAAAGCACGCGGTGGATTCGCACGATGTGCCGCGGAAGGTATCTGCCAGACTTTATAAATGGTCGCCTCAAGTGGCGTTAAGTAGAAGAAGTCGCGCGCGCGGTTACGGTGAGAAGAGCAGAAAACCGCGAGGATCGAATGTCATCGCACTGCTTACTGTTGCACGTCGCTCTTTATCGCATTATTATTCCTGTTATGACACGGAACGTTGAATTTTAAATAACCAATTTCTCTTTTTCATAGACCACGGGAGAGCCACTGTCCCGTGAGAATATTAAAATAAAAATCCTCCAATCAGGTTCATACATAATGCTAAATTACGGGTCGACCTCACGCGAACGACATATTTGTTAAATCTTAACGGCTTTTTCCGTTAAAATCCGTTGATATTTGTTGCATCGGTCGTTCACTTCGAAAGCAGGCGGAGTTGTTTGTTCCAGAACGTTTCCCTCTCGTGTTTATGCAAATTTGATAAGTTTCAAAATCTGATTCGTCTCAAATAAACGCGGCGCGATGAAACAGTTCCGCGACGCACTGCGACTGTACGGAACGCTTCTTTTTCGCGACGCGCGTACTGATAAGCATGTAAAAGCCGACGGTATCGTCGAGCAAGGGTCATTTCTTTGCGAGACGCGTCGATGAGTCAGTCACGAAGACAGAAATAACGCGCGACGTTAACGCGGATAAAAAAAAAAGGAGGAGCGGCGATAAACGGCGAACAGAGAGCGTACGCTCGTTTCGCTCCAATTTTGAAATACGGGGGACGATCTATCATCCTTGAAAATTGGAGTAAAAGCTCTGCCTTTTTTTTTTACTCTAGTACGCCGGTATTTGCAGCGTTTCAGTCGGCGCGATACATTAAAACAAGCCATCGAACGCATGATAAATCGAACGTTTTACATCCTAGCCGTCCTAGTACCGATGTCTCTGCGATAACGGGAAAAAAAAAAAAAAAAGGAGACGGATTTCGATAATACTTGGTGCGACAGCGAATACGTCATACGGAGCAATTCTAAATTAGCGAGTGTGTTCGATCAACTGATTCAAGTCGCTACTCCGGTGAGAAATTCTTAAGTGAAAAATAATCTGCGACAATGAGATTGTATCGGTGATAATTGGTGCGTCTGACTGCAAGTGACTATAAATAAATTTATTTTCAAACAATATCGAGCTTTGTTTTAATCCTTTTTCAGGCGACGACTTTTAATTAATGGAAAGTTACTCTTTCCTCTTAACTTTTGAATACGTGCAAATAAATAAATATCGTTCCACCTCTTTCGAGAGAAGACTCTCGCTCGGAAAAAAGTGAAACAAAGCATCACCACCGCGATTATATTATCGCATCTCATTGAAATTTTAAGCGTAAATTTATATCTATTTTAACTTAAAGATATTTAAATTTATTTTTACATATTCAAAAGTTAACAGCGCTAATGTTACACAGAGATCTCCCCGCGTTCTCCTGCGGCAAAAAATAATCTGAACTTTCATTGAGATGCGAATCGACCGAGGCGCACGAGAGATCGCCGGAGTTGCGGGCGCGTCGTGTGTTGCGGGCTCAACGAAATTTTACGTAACATGTAAATGCGCTCGTCGTGAATGCGGTCGCACGTTGCGTGTTTCTCTCTCTCTCTCTCTCTGTCTCTCATTCTCTCACTCCCTCCTCTTTCTCTCTTCCTTTCGCCTCCTCTCCTTTTTATTGCCGAAGCGGAGCTTACGAAACCAGTTTCGGTGTAGGCCGGCGGCTCTCGGTCTCGCTTGACTCGGCCGACGAATTTTTTCTCTTCCACGGGAGTGCAAGAGACTCCCAAGTTCAAAAATATTATCGCGCTGTCGCCGAAACGCTCGTGTCAGTGAAATCCTCTCCGCGAGTTCCGCGCCGCACCCTTCTCCAACCCCACCCGGGGGATATGACGGAGCGGCTGGCTTCGAGAGAGCTCCTTTACGAATTTCGTCACGCGCGCCGAAGGGACGCGCCGCCGTCGCCGCCGCCGGCTGGCTGGCTGGCGCAGCATTTGTATTCGTTGCGCAAGGTCCGGTCGCGCCCTCGTTCCTTAAACAGTATAATTTGCGGAATCTCGTCGGCGACGAGTAGTACTCTTTCTCCCTCCCCCCCCCTGCTCCCCCTCACTCTACCTCGCTCGTCCCCTTCGTCGCGACGTAATCGTTCCGGCGTGGCGGATTAAACCGCCGGAATCGGTGTTATCGATGAGTTCGAAACTCCCCGGCGGAAGTAGCGATTTTCATTCCGCAGCGCGTGAGAATACAAGATTGATCCTCGGCATAGAATCTAACTGTGCGACTCGTTACGCTCGAGTGTGGAATTTTTTTCCACGCTGAATAAAATGTATAAGATAAAGTCAAAGCGGGATTAACGAAAGCGAGCGCGACTTCCGCGACACATGCCGCGCATAAGCCTCGCGCGGGCTTGATTGATGCGCCAATTCGTCGGATTAATCGCGCCCGCGGTTTTTCAATTATCGCGGGCAGTATCGCGCGCAGCATAAAGACGTATAACTCGATTAGCGGTATTATGACGTCTCGATGAAATAGCTTAATACAATTTCCGTGTAGGACGCCGAGCGAATCTGACAGTGCGATAATTAAAGCGCGCGCTGCTTTATCGCTATCAGGGGAGCGCTCTCTCTCTTGACTCGGTCGGCTACTGAAAATTAGTCCCCGGCTAAACTCGATTACCGCGCGATCGGAAATATCGATAGATTTGTTAAACGCTCGACCCGATAAAAAGCATAATTCGATCAAGCGTGCACGTGTGCGAAACGCGCAGCGAAATCAGGTATCCAGCGAAGATAGCATGGGCAAAGCATAGGAAGTTCGTGACAAATGAAAACTCTCGATGCCCGTCGCTAAATATAAAAGAGCGTACGAAATAAAAGATGTCAAATGAAACTTGAATATATATTGGCCAAATTTACCTGTTCCTCTTTTATCCTTATCATTTAACGCTACGAAATTGGCTGGTAAACGTTTCGCATGAATGAAAATGAAGAAGAGGGCCGCAATGCATTCTGCATATGAGTCTAAAAGTTTTAATTACATCATGGGATAGTTATGGAACGGCTATTGAATTGCACGTGCGTCCGCATCTTTTTCGATCCCTTCGCGCCGAAATTAGATTCGAGCCGC